TCCTTTTTGCTGGGTGGGTTTATGTAACATACTTGGGACTGACATCTTCCACCTGACCCTCTGAGAATGGGCAGAGGAAAGTAGGATAAAAATGGGAACAGATGATAATGCTTACTAGGACCTCAGCAGCTTTGTGTCACTATGGTGACACACTGGCATTCAGATTGAACAGAGACTGGGTGTATGAAGACCCCTATTCCCACTATCTATTGGTATTGCTATGGAATAAATCCCAAAACTTAATGGAATAAAATGATCGTTCACTGTTGTGTTTATCCATTTACCACCCACTGATGGACATTCTGGTTGTCCCCAGGGAAGAGCCACTGAGGCAGTTAGAGTCTGAAGGCCATCTGCTGGGAGAATTCCTTTTTGCTAGGAGGAGTCAGTCTTTGTTCTATTAGGGCCTTTAACTTTGCAATGAGGCCAAACTGCCGTGTGGGAGGTGATCCGCTGTGCAGAATCCAACTGATTTAGTGCTAATTTCCTCCAAAATAACCCTCCCAGAAGCACCCAGGATGTTAAGCCAAAGATCTGGCAAGGGTGGACCAGCCAAGTTGGCACAAAGCTTGGTGGATTCCTTCCCCATCACTGAAGGGGGCACCACATGTGGTGTCCTGGGGACATTTAGTTGACAGATGACCCTTTGAAACCATCTGGTTCACCAAGCAGCCACCTGAGAAACACCAGAGATTATCTGCGGGTTGGGTACACCAGAATTTTTTCCCCCCATTCTTTCGAAAACCAGGGCCTGGAAAGTGGTATTTTATCATGGCCTCCTTGGATTCCTCTAGAGATTTATCCTCGGAGGAGACACAGGATGAGAACTTTAGTGGAGGTTGCTGGTCTGGAATAATGATCTGATAGCATATTCCCTTCGCTTGTGCTTTATTGCTTTTTGCATGAGCTGCATCTTTATAACGGTCACCTCCTGAGGAAATTCAAGTGAATCTAAAAGTTCCTTGTCCCTTACTTAAAAAAATTTTTTTTGAGAGATAGGGTCTCACTATGTTACCCAAGTTGGTCTCCAACTCCCGGAAGTTCAAGCAATCCTCCTGCCTCAGCTTCCTGAATAGCTGGTATGTATAATCATGCTTAGCTTAACTGGTCCGTTTTTTTCAAAGAGAATTCTAAGAAGATTAGACACCCCCACCCCCCAAAAAGAAACTCCTTTTCTGGGGTGGCTTAGTGCTATCTACTTGCCTAGCATGCTAGAGGCCCTGGGATTGAGCTTCAGCATGAAATGGGGGATGGGTAGAAGGAAATAAAATAAATTTCGAGGAGGACATGGTGGTGTATGTTTATAATCCCAGCACTCAGGAGGCTGAGGCAGGAAAATTGTCATGAATTCAAGGCCAGCCTGGGCTACATAGCAAGACCCTGTCTGCAGAAAAAAAAAAAAAAAATTAAGTAAAATAAATAAGAAAGAAAGAAACCTTCTTTGTTTCCAAAGCATCCAAAGTCATGTATTTCTTCAAAAGCATCTCTTGGGTACATGCCTTTGTTCTCTGACCTTTGCCAAGCTGAGAAGCCCTAGGAAGCGCAAGAGGTTCAGCCCCTGGGCTGACTTAGCTTACGAAAGGAACTATTTCAGCCTATTTCATAAGGCCCAGTGTGCTAAGGGGGTTGCCACTGAGTTCTTTCAATTCTCTCATCTTTTTGACCAAGGTGGTTTAGGGCTTGGCCCTGAGGCTGCCCTCCCTGAGAACTGCACTCAAAGAGAGCGCCAGACAGGGCTGAAGCCTTGGGGCAGGGATCCAGAACCCCCACATGTGAGGCCAATGCATGGGAGTTTCTGGGCATCACGAAACATGAGAATATTGCAGAACATTACAGACTTGTGTGATCGCTGTGGATGGGAAGCCCAGAGCCTCCCAGTTTCAGAGTAACCACTTCTGCAGCCCACCTCTTCCTAAGGGAGAGAAAACGTCTTGCGGGAGAATCCTGCCACCCCTCCTTCAGCCCCTGAGGAGGATCGTCCATGGTCTCCACTAACGGGTGCCTAAGGTGGACCCACCCAGATGACGAGACCCGTCAGCAATGACCCGCTAGAGTCGAACAGGAAATTCTAATCACGTCAGAAGGATCCATCCCCTCCATCTTTCTGGCCAAGGGTCTCAATTAATGTGACCCAAACATGCATTCACTGAGCATCGCCCAAGAGTACAAGGATTTAGGTTGCTTTCAGACAAGGACTCACTATTCAGTTCAGGCTGGCCTCGAAATCAAAACGATCCTCTTGCCTTAGTTTCCCGAGTGCTGGGACTACAGGCGTGTACCACCACGCCCAGCAGCCTCCCCTACATTTAAGAGTTTTCTGCCTCTCTTGGGTCACAGCCTGCTTTCCGGTCCCCACCTACGGACTCTTCCCACAGTCCAAGCGCGGCGTAGTAGAGCGCCGCTAAGGAAGCTACCCTGTCGCCGGGCCCTCGGTGCTCTATCGTCTCCTCGTGGCCAGACGGGGACCTGCATGGAAAAATAAAACTTGAAAAATTCTACTGGAAAAGGGCTGGCGATTCCCCATGTGGTGTGTGGTCCGCGACCCCCCCCTCCCCCCCGGGTGTCACTGTCGCTTTTCTCCTCTGCGCGGGGCCCTGGGAGACTGATCTGTGCGGACTCCATCCACGAGCATCCCTGGCCTGCACCTCCTGTTGGGATCTGCTGCTTAGAGATCCGGCCCAGAATCCCGAGGAGGAGTGCAGAGAGTTGGGGATGTCTGTTTCCTCCACCTGCCAACCCCTCTCAAAACTGGTCCTCCATAAATCCTCCTCGTTGGACTCTTCAGATAGCTGTTTCCTGCCAGCACCCGGACTAAATCACAGCCTAAATTTAGGAGCAGCCCAGGAGGAAGGGGACCCTGAGTCAGCAGCAGGCACTAAGACTTGGTGAGGTTTGTTGTTTTGTTTTGTTCTGTTCTGTACTGGAGATTGAACCCAGGGTCTTCACACTGAGCTACACCCCCAGCCCTTTTCATTTTTTAAAATTTTGAGACAGAATCTTGGTAAATCACTAAGTTCCCTGGGCTGGGCTCAAACTTGAGCCCCTCCTGCTTCAGCCTCCCAGAGTGCTAGGATTACAAGTGTTCACTGCCCGGCCCTGTTTCAGAATTGCTCCTTAGAGGAGTTTGGGCTGATCACCCGGCTGCCGGGAGGGTGTGCGGAGCTGGTCTTGGAGCGATTAGGATTTACACATATTATATCATCATGACAATTCTTTGCCGCTGTCCTTAACTGTGTCCACCTTGCAGGGTTCCTGGGTCCTTTAACCCTCACTTCTCGTCTCCCTCAAGATCCCTGCAAGGAAGGGAGTAATATGGTTCAGGTGAAGTTGCCTGTCCAAGGCCAGACAGCAAGTGATTATAATAGCTCCCTTTTCTGTTTGTCTGGTTTAAACTGTATGACTTAATTCAGGTGAAGTTCTAGAACTCTCAGAATTAATCTCCGGTGGAAAAAGAAAGAGAAAACAGGGCTGGGGATTTAGCTCAGTGGTGCTGCTGCCTGCCTCGCAAGCACAAGGTCCTGAGTTTGATCCTGGTACCGGAAAAAAAAAAATTCAGAAAGAGAAACCAGGGCCAGGAATGGTGCACCCCTGTCATCCCAGCACTGTGGGGAGGCTGAGGCAGGAGGTTCACCATGGTTTTGAGGCCAGCCTGGGCTACATAGTGAGTTCAAGCTCAGTCTAAACTAAATAGCAACACCTGTCTCAAAAAACCCAAAAAACATAAAAAAGAAGAAAAGAAAGGAAGAACAGAGTTGTGCCTAAGGGCAAAATAGGGTGTGTTGCCTGAAAAGGGGCATCGAACGTTGCCCTGGAAGGAGGCACCTGTCTGGTCCTGATTTGTGCGTTTAGTTACTGTCTTTCCCTTTCCTCAGGACTCGCTGTACTGAGTGAAGCCAAAGGATGCGATGCGGAGTGTTGGGCCAAAGGGCGACCGCTTCCCAGGTCTCATTTCTGTTTTGGTGCTGAGGATAGACCCGGGTGCTCACTGAGCTACATTCCCAGCACTTTTTGTTCCTTTTTGTGGTACTGGGGATTGAACCCACAGCTTCACAGATACTAGGCAAACATTTCCCCACTGAGCAACATCCCCAGCCCCTCCCAGCGCTTTTAAATATTTAAATTAAAAAACGTAGTTTTGTTTTGTTTTTAGTACCAGGGATCGAACTCAGGCCCTTGTGCTTGCACAGCAGGCAGCGAAACCACTGAGATAAATCCCCGGCCCTAAAAAACATAATTTTGAGACAAGGTTTCACTAAGTTGACTAGGCTGGCCTTGAACTTGTGATCTTCCCGGCTCAGCCTCCCAAGAGCTGGGATTAAGCCACCACATTCCGATCATTCCCAGATTTGACAGCACAGACGCCATGAAATGACATCCCTATGAGAAAGGACCATGAGCAACTGCTTTGACTATAGAGGAAACTGAGGCAGAGAGGTCACTGCGTTAAGTTCCGGCCCAGCTGGGTGCAACTGTAAGCCCTAGGGGTCCTTGGAGGTGGGGCTGTCCTTGGGGGTGGGAATTTGTTTTCTCCCTGGGCTGGGCAGGAAGGGTCGTGCAGGTTAATGACGAGAAGTTGAAAGACTCAGGCCTGGGGTGTCCAAGGGAAGAGCTGACAGCCGGGTGGGGGTTCATGGCGGGAGCCCCCCTCCCCGGCCCCGGGACTGATGAAGTTGGAGGTGCGTGGTTGGAAGGAGGGAGGGAGATCAAAAGGTTAAGGAGAGTCAGGCGTGGGGGCGCATGTCATTCCAGCACTGGGGAGGCTGAGGCAGGAGGATCGCCACTGAGTTCGAGGCCAGGCTGGGCTACATAGTGAGACCTTGTCTCGGAACAAGGAAGGGGATGTGAGGTGGGGTTGGGTGGCGTGGGGGCTCTGGCTAGGGAGTTTGAGTCTCTGGGCTGGGAGCCTTCAGGGGTGTGAAGACCTCGCGGGTTCAGGGGCGCGGCAGGGGAGGGGTTAACGGGGGCGGGACCGGCCGGGGCGGGGCTTGGGCGGGCCATCGGGCCCCGGGCCACGGGGAGTCGCCGCCGTCCGCCCCGCGGGGGCGCCCGTTGGGTCCCGGAGCCGCCATCGGGTCCGGACCGGGTGGCAACCGAAGACACCGCTGCGGCGCAGGTAAGGCGTCCCCTCCCCACCCCACGACCCGCCTGCCTCAGTCTCCCGCGCCGTCCCGGCCCCGCCCCCGCCTCCGCCCAGCCGTGGCGTCCGCCTCTCCAGCCCAGCTGCGAGGTCCCGAGTCCGTCCCGGCGTCTCTCCCGGGTCTCTCGGGGTCGGTGCACCTCCCGCCCCTCCGCTCCCATCCCGCCTCTCTCTGTCCCCCTCTGTCCCCTTCCCTGGCGGAGTCCTCGGTCTCAGGGCCTCGTTGCTCTGCCGTGTCCAGCTCTCCTGGGATCTGAGCATCCCTCCCTTTCCCTTCCCGGCTCCGTCTGTCTCCTGACTCAACTGCTCTGCCTGTCTCTGCCTCACACCCTGCTGGAACCCATGCAACCCATTGTCATCCCCCAGCAAACCCTACAGCACCCCAGGAACTTCCCTCCAGATTGGGGGGCTGCTTGGAACTCGGGGAGGGGCAGTGGGCTTGTGGCCCTAAGTGGTACTGTGACTCCAGGGTCCCCTTCACAGTCACCCCAGGCTCCTGAGGTCGCTCCCACCCCATACTCCAATTTCAGGAATTCCTGGCTGGGGGTGGACTTCCTCCCCCACTTCCTCCCTTCCAGGGTTTGGCTGTGTCCCTCTTAACTCCTTCCTGCTTCAGCCTCCCCCCACCCCCAGCAGAAGACCCCCACCTGCCTCCCAGGCCGAGGGACAGCTGTAGAATTTGGGAAGTGTGGGTGTCCAGGTGTGTGCAGACACGCACGCGCACTCGGGCTGGGTACACATGGAGGGCTTGTTTGGGGGTGCTGAGGGGGAGGATGGGGATGCCTCTAAGGGCCCCCATCAACCCCACTCCTTCAGGAGCCTCCAAGAGCCTGCTCTGTGTGGATGAACCTGACTTCAGGTTTGGGGTGAGGAGGGGGGATTTTCATTTCTGGGAGGGGAACCCAGATGGAAAGAATGAACTATGGCTGGGGGCTCCCTGAACTCTGGAAATCATATAATCAGGGACCCTTGAGGGCTCAGCGGGGGGCCCTGGCCTAGCATGCACCGGCCCTGGGTAACATGCCCAGTGCCCCAGTACGGGTGTGGGTCAGGGCTGGGCTGGGGGATCTTGAATGTGGAAGTCTGAATGGAAGCACCAGGCCCAGGGACGCTCAGAGGGCAGGACTGGGAATGTGGGTCCCTCCTGTGGAGGTTCTGAGGGTCCTTCAGTCCTTCAAGCAGATTGGTGTGGAACTCTTGGCAGCCCCCGGTGGTCACACTGAGGACTCTGGAGGGCTTGCAGAGTCATCCAGGCCAAGCCCCTCCCCCTGGACAGGTGGGGAAACTGAGGCCCAAGAGCAAAAGTCCCCAGGGTGAGTCAGTGCTAGGCCGGGAGCGGGACTCCTGTCCAACTGAGACCCCAAACTGAAGACCTGGCTTCTTTTGTCCCCATCCTGAGAGGTGGCTTCTTTGGCTGCCACTAAGTAGGATTAATTTGGCAAACCAGGTCTAAGGTCTTCACAGTGAGCAGAGGGGGAGGCCAGGGCGAGTCTGGATGGCTGGAGTCCAGAGGGAGGGTTTTGGGAGCAGAGAAGAGAAAATGTTCCTGACACCCCGCTGTTGGGGAGGGAAGGGGCCAGGGTGGAGACTGAGAGGGGAAGAGAGGTGGGGGCGGATTAACTCGGCCTGCTGGCTGACCCTCCCCTAGAAGCCCCCTGCTCCCTCGGGACAGGGCCTGTAATTTGGTTTGCGTCTAGACAAATAATAACTCAGCTGGGGTGAGCGAGACCGCTGAGCAAGGGGTGGGGCGGCAGCCTGGGCTCCGGTGTCCCCCAGGGGGCGAGAATTTAGGGGACCAGGGAGAGGTGGCAAAGAGACCCCCTGTGCCCTCTGTGAGTCTGAGGGGTCTGAGAATCCCAGACTGTGGAATCCAGGCCGCTGAATGTGAAAACCCAGAGCGGATAAGGGGGAAAGAGAAAGCGGGGCTCACCTATTCAGAGTATGTTCCCATTTCTGTAAAAAGAAAAGAGAAAAGGGAAATGCGTATTCATGTTTGCTGGGCACAGATAAAAATCACTGAGGGTTTAATAATAGATTATGAAAGTCGTAGAATGTTTAAAAAAAATCAGCGTTCTAACAATAGAACTTCAGAATCTTGGAATGCGAGACTCTGGGAGATAGGAAACCTAGAAGGGGTGCACAAAGCCGAGGGGTAATAATAACGAGGCCGGGGAAGGCTTCGAGGCCGAGCCCTAGGGTGTGAGGACAGAGAACAGAGCCGGGTCCGGCTCCAGAAGTGCTGGAATCTAGAGCATCAGCAGGGGAGCGCATCTGAGGGCTCCGGCATCCCTGATGGGGGTGTGGGCGTGGGGAGCGGGAATAGAAACCCCCTTGGTAGAAATGGGGAAACTGAGGCCCAGCGGGGCCAGTCACGGTGGCCTGGCTGCCCCCTGGTTTCCGCCGGCCGCCAGGGCACCAGGTGGGGAGCGAGACGCCGTGATCACATTTCGTCCCCTAATGAGCAGACCGGAGCTGGCCCATCCCCTGGGGCCACTGGGGGCGGGGGGAGCCAGAGCCCACGGTGGAGGGGACGGGGGGGGGCAGCCTGGTGGCCTGGGGACAAGACCGGTAAGTGAGCCAGGGGCCATGGGGATGTAGGGGGCTTCATTGTGTTTTTCCTCTTGTCCTCTCAACCCTCCGAGTCCTCAGGCCTGGCTGGGTTTGGGGTTGGCAGGTGGTGGGTTAGGGACTGGGGTGGCCCTTGGGGAGGAGATTTGGGGGTCAAACAGCATTTCTCCCCCTCCCCATCACTCCACACTCCAGCTCCTCTGGAAGGAGACTGCAGGGACCCAAGTCTGGCTGGGGGCTGTAAGATGGGGGAGCTGCTTGTAGGCTGAGACCTGGGGTTTACCTCCCCGCCCCCAGGGGTGGCCACACAGGACACTGGGGTCACTTGCTTTTCTGTGAAGGTCCCCATCTTCAAGCAAAAGGGCCATTCTCCAAAGGGCCTGAGCTCGGCCCCCCAAAACTAGTGAAAAATGACAGGGTTCGGGAAGTAGGGGGACCATCAGGGAGGGGAATGCTCTTTAGTTAAGAGTGACAGGTCGGTGGGTCGCAGACAGCTGCCTACCTCTTGGGCTGGTTTCCCCCAGCTGCATCAGGAAGGGGTCCGACAGAGCCTCGCAGCCCAGCTGTCACATAGAGGCAGTGGCCTTGTGCAATTCTGCATCTGACGTTCTGGGCCGACTTTGGGGACTCAAGGTGGGAGGTGTCGGGGGGGGGGAAGGGAGGGAAGGGTCCTCTGTTGGAGCACCCCTCCCCCATCCCAGCACCCCTAGACGCAGGTGCTTCTCCTAGGCTGGTCGCCTTGGGAGGAAATTACCAACGGGAAGTGCGTTTCCGCTGGCCGCCAGAACTATGTCTCTGGCCTGTGTACCCACTCGCCTGGGTCTCTGTACGGCCAGGAGTCAGTGGGGAGAAGGGCGGCAAGGGGCAGGGGGACTCCCACCCTTGTGGGCATCTCCTCCCTCTGAGAACGGATCTGTTTGGCCTCTGTTCTCCGGTGCTTATGGAATAATAATTGCTCCAGGACTGTATACTTTAGACACGATATCACATTCTTCCAAGGATTTCCAGGTGTGAGGGAGGAATCAGTATATAGGTTGTGCCTCCCGGCCAGGCAGGATGGTACCTGCTTATATTCTAGCTACTGGGGAGACTGATGCAGGAGGATCTCAAGTTTGAGCCCAGCCTGGGCTACTAAGGGATTTTTCAACACCTTGTCTCAAAAGTTAAAAGGGGGAGAGGGCTAGGTATGTAGCTCAGTGCAAATGGTTCAATTCTCAGTACAGTACCACACACACACACTCACACACACATACACACACACACACACAGAACAAAACAAAAAGAGTGTGTCCTCTCCCTTTTTTTTTGGTACCGGGGATCAAACTTGGGACTTTGAGCTTGCATGGCAGGTGGTGGCACCTCTGAGCTAAATCCCCAGCCCACCCCCTCCCTTTTTTGAGACAGGGTCTTGCTTTGTAGTCCAGACTGGCCTTGAACTCATTATGTAGCCCAGGGTGGCTTTGAACTCCTGGCAATCATCCTGCCTCAGCCTCCCAAACGCTGGGATGACAGCCATGCACCGCGATGCTTGGTTATGTGCCCCCTTTTTAAACTTTTTTTTTTTTCCCCGATAATGGGGATCAAACTCAGGACCTTGTGCTTGCTAGGCAGGCGGTGGCGCCACTGAGCTAAATCCCTGGCTCGTGTGCCCTCTTTTTGTAGGAAGAGAAACTGAGGCTTCTGAAGGAAAAGTAATTCCCTTAGTGTCACAGGAGGAAGGAGGGAGAGACAGATGGTAAGAGATGGGGCAGAGGGGCAGAAGGAGAAGGAGGATGTGGGAGAGAGGTGGGATCAAACTGGGCTGGCCAGGACCCAGCCGCAAGGGCCTCTGGGTCGGGGTGGGAACAGCTGTTTGAGGGTCCCACGGGGGCAGCACCAGCTGAGCAGCCCTGACCTTTTCATTCCTCCCTGCCCTCCTCCTCCCCTGGGACCCTGTGAGGACCTCTCTGAGCCTGGGCTGCAGCCGGGAAGGGAGGGGAGGGGAGCCAGCCAGCGCAATGGGGTGAGCCGACCAGGGTTCCTTCTCAAAGCTTCTGTGCATATTCACTTATCGAGCACCTCCTGTATGCTTGGCCTGTCCTGTCTTGGGGGCTGGAGATGGGACAGTCAGTTAATGTACAAGGTCCTCATCCTCCTGAATGTTCATTCATTCATTCAGACAGACAGACACAAACTAGATATAAGGTGCTGGGTGGGGTGCGGGGGGGTTGGAGACCGGGTGGAGAAAGGCTCCTTGGGCTGGTTGAAAAGGTGAGGGAAGAGCTGAGCCCGGGTGGTGCTGCCTCCCTGTAATCCCAGCACTCGGGAGGCTGAGGCAGGAGGATCACCACAAGTTTGAGGGCAGCCTGGGCTCCATAGTGAGTTTAAGGCCAGCCTGGGCTATATAGCAAGACCTTGTCTCAAAACAAAACGCAACAGGCCAGACACAGGGGACAGTAAACAGAGGTTTTCAGCTGGGAGGAGTCACAGGTGTGGAGCCTTCTGGGGATGGAATGGGAGGAGAGGGGGTGCTGGGGTGCCCAGGCCGTCAGACAGAACCTTGTCGCCCAGGGCCAGGAGCAGGAAGTCCATCAGTCCTTTTCCATCTCTCTCCCCTGCCTCCCTCCCTTTCTTCCTTCCTTTTTTCCCTTTCTTTCTGTGCTGGGGATTGAACCCAGGACCTTCACACAGAACAACCTCCTCAGCCCTTTTCACTCTGACCCAGGATTTTGCTTGAGTTGTCCAGGCTGGCCCTGAACCTTCCTGCCTCAGCCTCCCAAGTAGCTGGGATTACAAGCCTGCACCGCCTGGCCTGGCTAGGAGTTTGGATTTTACTTCGGTCCACTTGGCAGCCACTGCAGGGCTTCAAGCAGAGAAGTACCATGAGCTGATTTCTGAGTTAGGAAGATCTTTCCGTTGCTGCTGCCCTGTGGGCAGTGAGCGGAAGGGAGGCAGAGCCTAAGCCCAGAGTACAGCACCTGCCACAGCATGCAGGGCCCTGGGCTCCGTCCCCAGCACCGCAATAAATGAGTCTAAGCCAGCCCTGCTGGTGGCCCAGAGCTGGCAGAGGTGTTAGAGGGATCCAGGGATTCCGGGTTTACTGTGCAGGGCTTTAGCTCAGTAGTTCCGCCGCTGCCTGCCTCTCAAGTACAAGGACCTGAGTTCGATCCCCGGTACTGAAAAAAAAAAAAAAAAAAAGGTTTCACACTGAAAACAAAACAAAAAACGGAACAACTAAACAGGTGAGCCCCAGACCTCTGATGGAACCGCTCCCATGGGGCTTGGGGCTCTGATGTGCTTGTCTCTGAGGTTGATGACGGTCAGGCTGGTCTGTGACTATCCCTTGCCCTGGGCTCAGAGGTCTTCTCAGAGCCAAGGAGGTACAGGACTGAGGTTCTCAGGGGGAGGAGGGGCTGGCCCCGACCTCAGGGCTCCCTGGCTCAGACCTTGACCTTGGTGGATCCCAACAGCTTCTCCTCTCTCTCCTCTCCCTCGTCCTCCAGCTACCATTGATTCTGGGTCCCCATTGTCATTCCAGGGTCTTCTTTTTTCTTTTTTGGTACTGAGGATTGAACCTAGGGGCTTGGCACTGAGCTGTATCCCCAGTTCTCCACCCACCCCCTCATACCAGGGATTGAACTAAGGACCTTGTGCTTGCGAGGCAGGCGCGATGCCACTGAACTAAATCTCCAACTTTTTTTGTTGTTTTTTTGAGACAGGGTCTCACTAAGTGGCCCAGGCTGGGCTCAAAGTTGCAAGCCTCCTGCCTCAGCCTTGAAGAGTGCTGGATTAGAGGTGTGTGGCATATGCAGCTCCCAGGGCCCTTTTCTGTCGAGTTGTTCTGCAAACTGAAGCACACCCTGGAAAAAGGGCCTAGGGCAGAGATTCCCTCTCCTGTCATCAGGAGTTTGGACCTCAGGAGTCTGGAAGGTCTCAGAATGGCTATGTACCTCAGTGCATCAAATGGAAAGAAAAGCTGCTTTCCACGGGGAATTCTTGAACTTTTAATGAAATAATATCCACAAAATGGCTTGGAAAAGGGTCTTCTATGTAGTAGGTCTCAATAAACTATAGCTATTAGGAACTAGGGATGTAGCTCAGTGGTAGAGGACTGGCAGGTAGAAGATCCTGGATTCAAAACCCAGTAATATATATATATATATATATATGAATGACACAAACAAAAAGCAAAAGCAAAAAAACTGTAGCTGTAACAATCATCGTTAAGAATGGGGTGTTCTGGGGGCGGGGATTTAGCTCAGTGTCACTGTGCTTGCCTTGGAAGCATAAGGTCCTGAGTTTGATCTCCAATACCAAAAAAGAATGAGGTGTCCTGAAGCTGTACCTCATAAATATGTATACTTATTTTGTGTTAATTGAAAATAAACTTAAAAAAAAAAAGAAGTCAGGCATGGTGGCACAGGACATTTGGGAGGCTGAGGCAGAAGGTTCCCATAATTTTTTGTTTTGTTTTGATTTTGTACTTGTTGTTTTCAGATAGGGTCTTGCAATATAGTCCAGGCTGGCCTTGAACTCACTATGGAGTCTGGGCTGGCCTCAAACTTGTGGTGATCCTCCTGCCTCAGTCTCCCAAGTGCTAAGATTATAGGCATGTGGCATTATGTCCAGCTAGGATCCCATAATTTTGAGGCCAGCCTGGCCTCCATAGTGAGTTCGAGGCCAGTCTGAACTACATAGTGAGACCCTGTCTCAAAAAGCCAAAAAAAAAAAAAAAAGAAGAATCAGGCATGGTGGCACCTGCCTGTAATCCTAGCACTCAGGAGGGTAAGGCAGGAAGATCATGAGTTCGAGGCCAGCCTGGACTACATAGTGAGATCCTGTCCTAAAACAAAGGAACAAAAAGAATGTGGTGTTCTGGTTGGGGCCAGGAGGCTGATCCTGATGCAGGTTCCATCACTTCCTTCCTGTGATCCTGAAGGCGGTGACCCAGCCTCTGTGGCTCCCCGCCATGAAGTGACAGGGTTGGATTACTCCACTGTTGCCCAGCTCGTGATATGAACTTGTGCCAGTTCTATAGTCTCTGGGAGAAAGTTCTAAGATCTTTACTGTAGCATGTTTTTTTGAGACAGGGTCTCCCTATGTAGTCCAGGCTGGCTTTGAAATCATGGTGACCCTCCTGGCTCAGCCTCCTGAGTTCTGGGATTACAGGCGTGAGCCACCACACCTCGCTTGTAGCACCTACTTGGGAATAAAGGTACCTGGCTTTCAAGCAGGCAGCATCAGGGCACCCATGCTCTGCGTCCACAGGGACAACAGGAGGGCATGGGGAGGAGTGGCTTCTCACTGCTGTCCTCTCTCTCCCTTCAGGTCCTGCGAGCTCAACACTGTCTGGGGTCATGAACTAGGACTGCATCACCCCAACCCCACCAGGGCCCAACCGGAACCCCTCCCCTCTACTCCTCCCCCTCCCACCCTCACGGTGAGCCTCCTGTGATCTGGCCCTTGCTCACCTCCTTCCTGTTTCCCAGCAGCCTTCCCACAGTCCCTGCCCTTCCTCTGCCCACAGACAGGACAGCTCCTTTCTGAGACATACTCACGGCGACCTTACGCATTTCCTTATTTCTTGCCAGGATCCCGGGCCAATCCAGCGTTCCTGCCCACACTGCCAGTCTTCCCAACACGCCCATGCCCTGTCTCAACGCCTTCCTGTGTATTTTCTGTGTCTTCTAGAACACTCCACCCGACCAGTATGTACTACACTCACTGCCTAGGTCCCCTGGAAGTGTCACCCTCTCACCACCACTGCCGCTCATAGTTCTATCTCCTCCATTAGCTTGCCCTTCCCACATTTTTCTGCTACTCCAAACTTTTTTTTTTTTTTTTTTGTACTAGAGATTGAACCCAAGGCCTTCCCACTGAATTCCATCCCTACCCCTTTTTACTTTGTCTTTTAAATCTTGAAACAGGGTCTGGCTAAGTCGCCCAGGCTGGGCTTGAATTTGGGATCCTTCTGCCGCTGCCTCCCTAGTGCCAGGCTACAGGTGTATACCCCCACTCCCAGCTACACACGCTCTTCTTCTTCTTCTTCTTCTTCTTCTTTTTTTTTGGCACCAGGGATCGAACTCAGGACCTTGCACTTGTGAGGCAGGCGGCTGAGCCCCTAAGCTAAATCCCCGGCCCTGTTACACGCTCTTGTTTATATCCTGATTGGTCCTACAAACCCCTCCTTCACTTTCCTTTTAATCCCACCATCCCCAAGCCCCAACCCTCCTCTACCCCTTTTCCTTTTGTGTCCCCCTTTCCATGCTGAACCAGCCCAAGGGTTCACCTTGATCTCCTCTTTCCTTGGGGCTGTCATGTTCCCCTGAGCCTCCGAGGAGGGGGCTCAGGGGGCCCGATGGCCTCCTGTCCCCCACGGCCCGGCAGCCCCCGTGCAGGGGAAGAGCCCAGGAAGCCGCAGCGCCCAGGATGGGCAACCGCTCGTGGGAGGGCTGCCACGTGGACTCGCGCGTGGACCACCTCTTCCCGCCGTCCCTCTACATCTTCGTCATCGGCGTGGGGCTGCCCACCAACTGCCTGGCTCTGTGGGCCGCCTACCGCCAGGTGCGGCAGCACAATGAGCTGGGCGTCTACCTGATGAACCTGAGCGTGGCCGACCTGCTGTACATCTGCACGCTGCCGCTCTGGGTCGACTACTTCCTGCACCATGACAACTGGATCCACGGGCCAGGCTCCTGCAAGCTCTTCGGCTTCATCTTCTACACCAACATCTACATCAGCATCGCCTTCCTGTGCTGCATCTCCGTGGACCGCTACCTGGCTGTGGCGCACCCGCTGCGCTTCGCCCGCCTGCGCCGCGTCAAGACGGCCGTGGCCGTGAGCTCAGTGGTCTGGGCCACCGAGCTGGGCGCCAACTCGGCGCCCTTGTTCCATGACGAGCTCTTTCGAGACCGATACAACCACACCTTCTGCTTCGAGAAATTCCCCATGGAGGGCTGGGTGGCCTGGATGAACCTGTACCGCGTCTTCGTGGGCTTCCTCTTCCCCTGGGCCCTCATGCTGCTCTGCTACCGCGGCATCCTGCGGGCCGTGCGGGCCAGCGTGTCCACCGAGCGCCAGGAGAAGGCCAAGATCAAGCGGCTGGCGCTCAGCCTCATCGCCATCGTGCTGGTCTGCTTCGCGCCCTACCACGTGCTGCTGCTATCGCGCAGCGCCGTCTACCTGGGCCGCCCCTGGGACTGCGGCTTCGAGGAGCGCATCTTCTCCGCCTACCACAGCTCGCTGGCCTTCACCAGCCTCAACTGCGTCGCCGACCCCATCCTCTACTGCCTGGTCAATGAGGGCGCCCGCAGCGATGTGGCCAAGGCCCTGCACAACCTGCTCCGCTTCCTGGCCAGTGACAAGCCCCAGGAGATGGCCAACGCGTCCCTCACCCTAGAGACCCCGCTCACTTCCAAAAGGAGCAGTGTGGCCAGGGGCCCGGCAGGCAGCTGGGTGGCGGCTGTGCCCTCCCAGGGGGACCAGGTGCCGCTCAAGGTGCTGCTGCCCGCACAGTGAGCCCCATGCTTAAATCTCTGCCGTGGTCTCTTCCCAGGTCTGCTGTATGCAAACTGTACGTAACCAGGCGGTGTTGATATTCTTAAGAATATAATAGGACAAGCGTAAGGCTGATGAGTCACTGTCACCCACCTCCTCCACATGACCCCCTCGCAGTTCAGTTTAACCTCCCCAGCCCTGAGATGGGCAGTGCTAGTGATAGGGCAGCAGCCCTGTCCTCATGGACCCCAGGCCCTGCTACTCTTCTGGGGACACAGGGCTTCCTGGAGGACCTGAAGAGTCGATGAAGTCAAATATTTGGCTTCCAAAAGGTAAAGACACAAAGAAAGGATGATTTCCAACAGAGGAGTAGAACCTGTGACTACTGCGCGGGTGGGAGGGGAAAATCAGAGTGTGGTCACTGTGTTTGCCCTTGGGATGTCCCTGGGGGAGAGGGTGACAGACAGACGGGTTCCGAGATTTCCTGTCAACAGTGTTCTCCGAGTAGGAACTGAGGAAGAGGATGGAGAGTGTGGGAAAGAAAGGAAAAAGCAATCAGAGCAGACTGCCTGGAGGAAGAGTGAGTGGGAGGAGGCTCAGGACAAGAGGAAGCTCATTCATCCATTCATTCATTCATCCATCCATTCATTCATTCATTCATTCATCCATTCAGTCACTGGAGATTTATGCCCAGCCTATGTTGACAGGGGCTCAGGATACAGCAACGGACATGACAGCCCTGGCCCCGCTCTCATGGGGTTCAGGAAAAACAAGTAAAAAGTAACTATAAGCTGGGCATGGTGGTATAGAGCTGTAGTCTCAGCTACTTGGGAGGCTGAGGCAGGAAGATTGCAAATTTCAGGCCAGCCTGGGCTAAACAGCAAGACCTTGTCTCAAAAATCAAGGATAACAATAAAAAATAAATACGACATTTGGAATTGCTAAATAGAAGTGGAAAAAACCAGAGCTGGTTGAAGAGACCGAAGGACCGGGAGTCTGATCTAGATGAGGAAGATGGGGGAGGGCTCATGGCAGTGCTTAGAGCAAGGATCTGAAGGGGCAAGGCGGTAACCCCTGTGGGTACTGCGGGAAAAGCACTCCGGAGAGCAAGAGTGGCAAGGGCAAAGGCCCTAGGGTAAAAAACCGTAAGTTCGGAGGGACCAGTGGCACAGCAGTGTGGCTGGAGTGCAGGTTGGAAGGGCAAGAGGAATGGGACGTTGGCCACAGGCGGATGGTGTGAGCCTGCTTGTCTTGGTGAGGATTTGCCTTCTTCTCAGACAAATAGGAGCCGCAGGGAGGCTCTGAGCAGTCGACCGAAGTGATCTGACTTCCGTGTTAATGGGATCCTGCTGGCTGCTGAGCAGGAGCAGAAGGCAGGAGGTGAAGGCAGAAGCCAGGGGCCTGGTGAGGTGGTGATTGGCAAAATGTACACTGAACATGTGGGTGCTCGACCAGTTGGGAGTGGGGGACCAGGCAGGGTGGTGGTCAGCACTGGGCTTTATTCTGCAGGAAGACATTGATGGAAGCAGCTGGGGCCTGTGGAATTGTGTAACAGGAGCCCCTTGCCCTCTTCTGGGAAGAGGGTGCTCGGGGACCTGAGCGGAAAGGGCCTCTGGGAGTGAGTGATCTTAGCCGCAGTGGAAGGTGGCACCAGAGGGGCTGAGCAGGGGTCCAAGGTCTCAGGGCCGGTGAGTCAGTGCTGGGCCATCCTGGGCTTGCTCCCCACTCCTCACTCCAGCATCTGTTCCCACGGCCCAGGGTGCCAAGGTGGCTGTCCTGGCTGATGGTGTCCGTGGCCGCCTCTGGCCTCAAGGGTCACCAGGGCTGGAGAGGAGGAAGCGCCTGCCCTGCCAGGCCCCAGCCCTCCCAGAGCAAGGGTGGATGCAGGCTCCTGAGATGCAAAGATCCTCCTCCCCCACCCTGCCCTGCCCTAGAAGTTCCCATAAGAGCTTCCTGGAAACGCTTCTCGGAGAAAGGAAGAGGTGGGAAGAGGGGAATGGGAAAACAATGCACTTGATGAGAAAAATGATTTTGTGGAGAAGGGGGTGAGGTGGCACAGAGGGCAGGTAGCCCAGAGATGCAGTGTTGGGGGGTAGAGAAGCAGGGAGGCCTAGGATCTGGGAGGTCGGTCCCCTCCTCCCACCACCTTAGAATGGCTGAACACAGCCCCCTCCCACCAAATGCTCCTTCCTGGCCATTCAGTAAACATTTATTGAGTACCTACAGTGTGCCTGGCACTATTGTAAGAGCTCAGGAAACAGCAGTGAATTGTACAGAAAAGAGTCATGTACACGTTTGGAAGTTTCCTAAACCCATCAGGTCTTTTCCTCAGTCCCTAGTAGGTCCTTGGGCCCCATGATAACCCACCCAGGGATTAAAAGAAGGACCTGGGCAAATCTCTTCCACTTTCTGGCCCCAGGTGGCTGGTCTGTACCATGGGAAGACGCCTGGTCCCAATTGTGTGATGGATCTTAAGTGGGCCGGGGCTTGTTCACACCTTCTGTCCTTGAGGCACCCCAGGAAGCCTTGTTTTTTTGGACTTTTGGCATTCTTAGTGAGTTAAGAGTATCTGGGTTCACACACACCTGCATCATCTTTTATTTATTTACTCTTTTTGTCTGTACTGGGGACTGAACCCAGGGCCTTCACACTGTACAGCCCTAGTCCATTTTTTATTTTTAAAAGTTTTTTGGTACTGGGGATCAAACATGGGACCTTGCGCTTTCGAGGCAGGTGGCAGAACCACTGAGCTACATCCCTGGCCCAGTTATTTTTTTGAGACAGGGTCTCAATAAGTTGCCCAAGCTGGGCTTGAATTTAGATCTTCCTGCCTCAGCTTTCCAGAGTTCTGGGTTTATAGGCATTCTGCACTAGGCCCAGCTTCCCAGCACCATCTTTACAAATGAAGAAACACAGGTCCCTTGGGGCTGGGGGCTCTGCAAGGACTCTCAGGGAGGAAAGCCCAGACCCCCTGACCCTGTGTCCTAAACTTTCCCCCACCCCACAATCCTCCGCTCCTCCCTACTCGCCCCTACCTCTCTTCAGTCTCTTTATTACCCACCAGCTCTCCACCAACCAGGAATTTCTCTCCACCCCTTCTGGACCTTGTTTATATGATTTTCCTCCCTGCTGGGTAGGGCAGGACAGGCTGGGACATGTCCTTAAAACTCCTTCCTGAGCCATCTCCCTGGGGACCCTCAGCCCCCAGAGGAGGAAGTGGGCTGCTTGAGAACGGGTTTTATTAGCCAGCACGCGGGGCTCTCAACATCTGCAGCTGGGGGACCCTCCAACCCCTACGTCTCTCTGGGCTGCAGTCTGGTAGCTGGGAAAGGCCTGGGTTAGCTGGCTGCTTCTGGGGTCACAGCATACAAGCCTCAGAAAAACTAATAAGTGCTTTTTTCTTTTCGAGCCGGGGTCTCCGTATGTAGTTTAGGCTGGGCTTCGAATTTATGGCGATCCTGTTGCCTCAGCCTCCACCCGAGTGCTGAGATTACAGTTTGGCTTCTCCAGTGTTACTTTTTTTCCTCCACTGTTATTCTGAGACTGGTTTTGTAAATAATACTGATGTCCAAAGAGGTTAAGCCACTCGTCCAATAGCACACCGAGTAAACACGGAAGTGCAATCCCAAATCTGGATGACTGTACAATCAATTTCCTCTCTTACTCCCAGCGAGAGTTCTAACCTGCGGAAGAAAGTGTATTTGGGACTCATTAGACCTAATTAGGACTAATTTAGAGCCTCCTTTGGGCGGGGATGCTAACTCAGTACGTGACATCACACAGGAGCGCGGTGACATCATCATCGCAGGCTTGAGACTCCATCCACGCTCCCGAGAGCAGCCGTTTAACGGCACCGCCTCTGACAGCCTCACTTCCACTGTATATATTTGCATATTCATCAAACAGACTTCGACCCATCAGAGCAGACGCAGTGACATCAGGGAACGCCCCTGCAGTCACCCCTGAGCGTGCGTACGCACGTAAGTCAGCACGCACGTCCAGAGAGGGCGGGAGGAGGAGGAGTGGGAAGGTTGGAGGCGCCCCGCCCAGGCAGCAAGGTTGCGCGTGCTCTGTGCGACCGCCAAGATGGTGGTGGGCGCGTTCCCTATGGCGAAGCTGCTATACCTCGGCATCCGGCAGGTCAGCAAGCCGCTTGCCAACCGCATTAAGGAGGCTGCCCGCCGAAGCGAGTTCTTCAAGACCTATGTCTGCCTTCCGCCGGCACAGCGTGAGTCTGACCCCACGTCCCTCCAACCTTTCCAGTCTCCAACCCTTCTCAGGTGGTTGCTCAGAGGATGGACATCTATCCACGGCCAATCACAGCTCGAACCGGCGAAGTCCGGTAGCCAATAGGGAGGGCCTCTGGAAGAGGGACATACGGGTAACCCAATAGTACGGACGGGCAGAGGGTAAGGGGTGGGGCAGGCTGTCACCGCGCGAGTTTGGAATACCAGCCAATAGAGGAAGAGAGCTTGTGGAGACTGACGTCCAAGCAAGCCAATAATCTCGGTAAAGAGCAATTTAGGCGGGGCTCTCCAGGTCTGAGAGGAGCTAGGGGCGGGGCGGGAGAGTAACCGAACTAGACTTTGTCAAGCCATCCTTGGACGATTTAGCTCCCCAAACCCCACCTAGTACCTCAATTTCCCTGCCGCCTTAGGAAGTGGAGGGCGTTTAGATTATCGGTGTGCCTTGGTTTGACTCTGGGCATTAGGCCTAGATTGGGGCGAAGTAGTGATGGGTGAAGCCTGGAGTCTGAGGGCGGACTTAGGATCTAGCAAAAGGGGAATACAAACCAGAGTGGACATTCATACGCCATCAGTTAGACTGTGAGGTTTCTGCCACGCTCTAGGGGTTGCACTCCTGACCCGGCAGCGTCAACCCGGAGTGGTCGGGAAGGTGGGAGCGCGAGTTCAGAGGACCTAGGCCATACAGGGTATGGGGTCAGGAAGCTTCCTGGAGGGGAGCCGGCCGAGCTGGATTTGGAGTCCATAGTAAATGCTCACAGTATGTTGAAAAGATGATCTATGTGCTGTAGGCCTGTAGGAGCATAAAATTCTTACAACTTGTGGGTGAGGGCACCGCCATTGATCCATCCATGACTTCATTTAGCTTGTGTTTTATGAGTACGTGTTCTGTGCCAGTCCCTGTGTTGACAATGCTTGGTCCAAGCCAGTCCCAGACTGTGCCCTCAAAGAGCTCGCAGTCCAGTGGGGCCAGACCCATCCCCCAAAGTGACAGCCTAGATGTACTGAGTTGGGTGGGGGAGGCCACCGGAAACCCGACCTAGCATGGGCTGCAGTTCTGGCAAAGGAGATATCTACACTGGGACCCAAAGGGTGAGAATCTCGCCAGACCACACAGGGACGAGGACAGTGCTAAGGCAGGGGAGGAGCATGGGCAAAGGTCAGACGGTTAAGGGGAGACTTTTCTCCCCCTATACGCTTGAAAATTCCGGCTCTTTCATGCTTGGTGAGGTCTCTGCCAGGCTGCAGATCTTCCAGTTGGAAAATGTTAGGTTTCCTGGTAATCAGAGTGCTTTCGTGTCAGCTATGTCATTAGCTTCACAACCACTTTTTGTTTTTTTTTGTTTTTTGAGATCCAAACTCACTATGTAACCCAGGGTGGCCTTGAACTTGGGGTGATCCTTCTGCCTCAGCCTCCTGAGTACTGGGAATACAGGCGTGTGCCACCACACCTGGCCACTTTCACAACCATTTTGTCTCCACGTCAGGAAGAGGGAATGACATCCTCCAGTTTATAGGTGGAAGAACTGAGGCTTTGGGAGCAGAAGAAAAATGCTGAGGTCACACACAAGGCTGTGCCAGAGAGCCTTAGACTCTGGACTCTCAGAACTGTCTGTTTCCAACCATTCTTCAAACACTGTGGTTTATCTTTTATTCTTCTTTTTTTTAAGGTTTTTTAATTTTTTGTACCAGGGATCGAACTCAGGTCCTTGCACTTGCACAGCAGGTGGCCAAACCACTGAGCTAAATCCCTGGCCCCTCTTCTTTTTTTTTAGATAGGGTCTCACTATGTAGTTCATGTTGGCCTTGAACTCAATATGGAGCCCAGGGTGGTCTTGAAGTTGTGGTGGTCCTCCTGCCTCAGCCTGGGAAGTGCTTGGGATCACAGGTGTGTGCCACCATGCCTGGCTAACAGTGTGGTTTAGAAGATGGATGGCTTGTGGCACCACACTGAGATAGATTTGGGTCCTTGCCCTACCCCTTCTCAGGCTGGTGACTTTGGGCAGGTCATTTAATCTCTCTAAGCCTCACTTTCTGCTTCTGTGTCATGGGTATTATATAATAACAACATTTGTTGGGCACTTACGCTGGACCTGTCTTTATGGCATTGAATCTTCACAAATTATAATTATAAGGTAGTTACCATTAGTATTCCCATTTTGTATATACTATATATGTATTTATACTATAAATAATGTGCTATTGTAAGGATTAAGTGGACATAAAATGTTAATCAGTGTTTGGTACAGAGTCATAGCCGATGTATAAATGTTATGGATATAACAAAGAGGAAAAGGCAAAAAAAATCTTATTCCCATCCCTAGAATTTTTATTTTTCCTTTGAGACAGTCTCACTATGTAGTTCAGGCTGGCCTTGAATTCACTGTGTAGCCCAGGCTGGCTTCAAGGTTGTTATGATCCTTCTGCCTCAGCTTCCTGAGTGCTAGGATTACAGGCACATTTCATCACACCCAGCTAGGACCTTACATTCTCGTAGGGGAAAACTAGACAAAAACCAGAAATCAATAGTTAGAATATGAACTTTAAAGGAAAAAAACCCAGAATATGAACTACATTAGATAGCAATAATTGCTGTGGAAAAAAATCAGAGGGAAGCTGAAGTGGAGCACACCTATAATCCCAACACTTTGGAAAGCTGAGGCTGGAGGAGTCCACGTTTGAGCCCAGTCTGGACAACATTGCCTGGACAACTTCAGTGACTTAGCGAGACCCTGTCTTAAAATAAAATACATAGAAAAGGGCTGGGATTGCAGCTCTGTACAAAAGCCCTGGGTTTGATTCCCAGTACTGGAAAAAAAAAATTGGGTGCAGAAGTTTGTTTGGAAAAGGTTGTAAGTTTAGGTAGGAGGTGAGGGAATAGGAAGTGTTGGTACCTGGAGGAGGAACATTCTAGCCGGAAGGATCCGCAGATGGAAAAGCTCAGGGGTGAGAGTGCCTGGAGTATCTGAAACAGGAAATGGGGGTGGGGGGTGGGAAGGGGCAGCTGGTACTGTACCTGTGGGCCGCTGTGGATCCTTTGGCTTTGCTCTGAGCTGGAGCGGACTCCTGGAGGATTCATGTAGCAGGGGAACGGGGTCTGAGTTCTATTATAGAAATAGTGCATATTTATAATATAAATATATAACTCAATAAATAAATAACCTATATTTAATAAAATAGATGAAATATAAAATACCGGGGCTGGGGTTATAGCTCAGGACTAGACTGCTTGGCTAGAATCCCTGAAGCCCTAGATTCCGTCCCCACCGCCACTAAAGTAACTTACATATGTTAAATATAAATAATATATTTAATAATGAAATGTTATATATAGTAAGTTTATATATATAATATGTATTCTGTGGGTTTTTTTCTGACTCTGAGTTGGAACCCAAGGCCTTGTGCATGCCAGGCAAGTGCTATACCACTGGGCTGCACCAGCCTGGGCACCAGCCTAGAGCCTTTGGCCTTGTGGGGCGAGGGCGGCTCCAGGGAGGAGGCCTCTCCTGTAGTCTAGACAGTAGGTGAGTGGGGAGGAGGGTCAGCTTCTGGAGATATTTCACCCCAACTTCTTAAAGTTTTAATCCTTCAGAAAAGTGAAAAGAATAATAGAGTCGTTGCTTATGCACCCTGACCTCCCGGCTTGTCGGGTGTCCATCTTCAGCAGCTGTGCTCTGTTTCTGCTCTGGCTTGTGTGTGTTTGTGTGTGTGTGCGTGCACACTCGCACCCTTTTCCTCTCAGCTATGTGCATGTAAGTTGAGGGTTACGTGACTTCACTCCTATGTCTGCTAGCCTTTCTCTCCTAATGGGACACCTGGGGAGTGTTCCGGTTGTTCCCCAGATGACCTTTTTAGCAGATGACGATGATGACAATGATGATGAAGAATCTGGGGTCTGCTCAGGGATCCCGGACTGCATTTGATTATCATGCCATTTCGATGTCCTTTAATCTACAGCAGGGCTTGGCATTCCAGCCCACTGCTTGATTTTGTGAATAAAGTTTTGTGCTAACACAGCCTTGTGTGTAAGCTTACGTATGGTCTCCCTGGAGAAATGAGTTTGTATGCCCCATGCTGGGGTGAAGGCAGCTTGCCTCCTGCCTCTCCAGGGGTCTGAAAGACTGATACGCAGCTAACAGAAGACAATAGTGTCAAATTGATCTGGGGGCTGGCTGGGGTCTTCTCGGTCGTAGAGCATACGCTTAGCATGTTCAAGGCCCTGGGTTCCATCCCTAGCTTCAGTCAGTTAAGCAGTCAGTGGCTATGTTATGGTGCCCTGGACATTTCAGGAATGAAAGTGAGCCCCTAAGCCCTGTGTGGAAGAGGGGGGTATGTAGGCAGCCCTCAGGAGAGTGTAACTTTAGAGAGAGGGCTGGGCTGCTGATGGAGAGGTGGTATGGTGTCTGGACCTGGTGCAAAAATTGCCTCTTCCTCCCATGGGTGCTGATCATCCCAGAGAGGGCAGTTTCTGGGAGGGTTTTCATGAGAGCCGTGCGGGCTGTATCTGGAGAATCTACCTTCATTGCATCACAGGAGAATGAGGGAGAGCTTGAAGCGACCAGCGCACCAGGATGGCATATTCTGCGATATTTCCTGGACTCCTTCACCCACAAAGTCTAAACTATATACCCTCTGGCCCTTTATGGAAAGGCTTGCTGATCCTGCTGTGGAATAGTATTCTCCTTTCTTTTTGGTACTGGGGATCGAACTTGGGTCCTTGCGCTTGCAGGGCAGGCCACGGAACCACTGAGCTAAATCCCCAGCCCCTCTTCTCCTTTCTTGTTCTTTGTGACGTTGACATCGGGAGCCAGTTGGCTGGTAGCGTGTCCCACAGCCTGGAGGCTTCTGAGCGCATCCCCATGGGATGCTTTGGATTCACGTCACACATCTTTGGTAGGAACACCCCAGATCAGACGGAGAGCCTGAGGGGCTCTGGTGTCTGTTCTGTCATTTGTTTGTTTGTTTTTTCTTTTGAGACAGGGTCTTGAAATGTCCAGACTGGCCTTGAACTCACCGTGGCCCAGGCTGGCCTGGAATTTACAGAGGTCCTTCTGCCTCACTCTGGAGTGCTGCGATTATACCACCACACCCGGCTGTTCTGTCATTGCTGATGGAGATTTGGATCCCTTTGTTAAAATATTAACTAGAGGCCAGGGATTTAGCTCAGTGGTGCTGCCGCCTGCCTCGTAAGGGCAAGGTCCCCAGTTCGATCTCCGTACCAAAAAAAAATTAACTAGGAAAAGAACCCCTCCTTTTCCTCCTGGTAGTAAAGAAGCAGTAGGTGTGTGTGTGGAAGATAGAGCCAGCAAGATTGCCCTCGGGTTGGGTGTGATTTGGAGGTGACACTAGTTACTGGGATGCAGTGGCCCATTATATTTATATCTTCATTATGTCATTGTTGTCTTCACACTGTTAGTGCCCCTGGCCAGTGTGGTCATGGACTTGGAGTTTCCAGCAGTGCAGCGGCGGCTGTGTATCCTCCAAGGTCACATCTCCCGGCCGAGCGGCACACCCAGGAGCTGCCTGTGGCTGAGGTTCTCCTGCCTCAGCAGGGCAGGCCCGCCTGTCTCCTCCTGGGATGGCCTGGGTAAGTGGCTGACTGATCTCATGGCAGGAAATGCAAGGAGAATCATTGACAATGCACTGTGCTTGGAGAGGCAAAGACCTTTTTATTTTTATCTTTTGCAGTGCTGGGAATGGAAGCCAGAACCTCATGCATGCTAGGCAAGCACTCAATCACTGAGCTGCACCCTCAGCCCTAACAAAGATCTTTTAAACAAAGAATTCCTGGCAGAAAAAAAGATAAAGGGGCTGATGATGCCAGGCAGGTGGGGCTGTTCTTGTGAAGTACAGTTCTGATGTTTCCAGGGAAGCTATGGGGTGTTTCTGGGCAGTGGGAGAGTTATAGTTCATTTCGGCTTGTGTTCCTTTGGAGTATAAGAGTCATTTTTCTAATTTACTGCACATGATAGGCAGAATAGTGGTCCTCCAAAGATGCCTGCATCTGTATTAGTCAGCACTTTGTTACTATAATGACATAGCTGAGGCTGGATAACTTTGTAAAGAGAGGTTTCTTTGGCTCACAGTTCTGGAAGGTCAGAGGCAGCATTTGCCTTGGCCTTGTTCTGGTGGTGGCCTCTAAGAGCTGGCGAGTCCCAGGGCATCACATAGCAGAAGTGTCTGTGTTTGTGTATCTGGTCTCTGTCCCTCTTTCTATAAGGCGACTAGAATTCAGTCATGAGGGCTCCACCCTAAAGATATTATTTAGCTGGGTGTGGTGGTGAATACCTGTAACCCCAGCACTCTGGGAGGGTGAGGCAGGAGGATCACAAGTTTGAACCCAGCCTGGGCAATTTAGCGCCTTAGACTCTGTCTCAAAATAAAAAGTAAAGCTGGGTGTGGTGGCGCACACCTGTAATCCCATTGCATGGAAGGCTGAGGCAAGAGAATTGCTGGGAGTTTGAGGCCATCCTGGGCTACATAGTGAGTTCAAGTCCAGCCTAAAGTATACAGTGAGACCCTGTCTCAAAACAGCAAAAAGGGGCTGGGAATATAGTGCAGTGAGAGGGCTGTGGTTTCACTCTCCAGTAACACGTGCGTGCGTGCGTGCACACACACACACACACACACACACACACACACGCAGCATGAGGAAGCTGTGCAGGAGGCGCCTGTGACCTGCAGGCCTCACTGGAAACACTGCCCTGTGAGGCACAGCCTCAGCTCAGGTGGAGCAGACAGTCCTCTGAGAATTTGTGGCACTGACTGTTCCTCCTGTGGGCTCAGAGCCAGAATTATACTTTGCAAAGAGTGGGCCGAGAAGGAACCCGGGTCTGTTGTACCCTGCGCAGTGCTCTCCATGCTCAAGGCCTTCACTATCCCTTCAGCCTGCTGTGCCCCAAAGTGGGCTCCCGTGAGCGAGGATCAGCGGAGCCGGAACACTGCAGGTCACCGCAGATCAGAATTAGCCGGATGTGGACCTAAAATATGTATGCAAGTTGATATGTTAAAAGGATAAAAGAGAGGCATCATAAAACACAAAGAAAATAAACTGCCAGAAGTCAGAAAAAAACAAAAGGAATGTCTAGAAATGGCAGATACAACAGTTGTGTTCCAAGGTCAATAAAAGGGGTAGGGCTGGGCGCAGCCCCCTGGTAGAGCGCATGCTCAGCACGCTCTAGGCCTGGGTTCCATCTCCAGCTGCGCAAAGCAGAAAAGCTAAACCGATGAAACACAGCTGCAAGAGGGTGGTAAGCCGAAAGGTGGCCGATCTGAAGGAAGAAGTGACCTTGTGCAGTGCTCCCTGGGTGCCTGGCAGTGCCACCTGCGGGCTTGGACTTGGGCAACCTGAGGACGCGCTGGAGGTGTTTATTTATTTATTTATTTGGGTTTTTCTTTTTTAAAACAGGGTCTTGTTATGTAGTTCAGGCTGGCCTCGAACTCACTATGTAGCCTAGGCTGGCCTAGAACTCACGGTGATCCTCCTGTCTCAGCCTCCCGAGTGCTGGGATTACAGGCAGTGTACCACCATGCCTAGCAAGGTATTTATTTTTAACAGTGTCCAGAATGGATGCCCATGAGTGCCAGTGTTTGAAATTCACTTCCTTAGAGTCTATTTATAATTTCCTGAGTGTCACATCAGTTCTGTTATGTCACAGCCATATTGCTTCTGGTGACCTCCAAATATTTTTTTTTTTTTGGTACCGAGAATTGAACTCAGGTCCTTGCGCTTGCGCAGTATGCAGTGAAACAACTGAGCTAAATCCCCGGCCCTCCAAATATTTTTATTATGCTCTCCTACAAAGGAAACATTTTGAGCATTGTCCCCTTTACATCTGTGTACATTTATATATACATATGTAACTATTCACCAGTTGTCTAAAGTGCTAACATATGTATGACTATGTTATGAGCATTTAAAACATACACAAAGCCAGGCGTGATGGCACATGCCTGTGTATCAGCACTCTGGGAAGCCTAGGCGGAGGATTGCAAATTCAAGCCCATCTTGGGGAATTTAGTGACCTAGTGAGTTCTGGTCTCAAAAAAAAAAAGGTCTGGGAAGTAGCTCAGTGCAAAGGCCCTGGGTTCAGTCCTCAGGTACTGGGAGGAGGAAAAATCCCAGAAGTGATGACATTAACAATATTTAAAAAGTGTTATTTATTTATGCCCCCTAGCAGATGTTTTTGCTCACACACAAAATATTGGTTGGGATTTGCTCACGTGCACACTGTTAAATCTGCAGGCGACAGAGGCTGAGCCGCCTTTGTGAGGGCTGGTTGGTTGGCAACCTGGGGAGATCCAAGAATCCACTTGCCGGGGCCGCAAGCAATACTCCTGGACAGTAGAGGGCGCCCGTGTCGGCCCGCAGAACCCGGCTCTTCACTGGGGATGAGGCGTCCGCAGGGAGGCGCCAGAGGCCTTCTGTAGAGTCGACCCTGGGCTGTCAGTGTGTGTTATGCTCCTCTGTGGTTGATTGGAAGCCCAGCCAGTAAATCTTAAGCCAATCTCATTCAGGCTTTTTTTTTGGTATCGGGGATCGAACTCGGGTCCTCGCGCTTGCGCAGCAGGCAGCGAAACCGCTGAGCTAAATCCCCGGCCCCTTAAGCAAATCTGAAGTCAGAGCTCTTCTTGGCTTTACAATAAGCCCTGAGAAAGACACGTCTGTGATGGGTTTGGTGGCTCAGTGGTGTCATCTGGGACCGGGAGACTCTGATTCTGCCCTTTTGTGTCCAGGCAGCTCTCGTGGCCTCCAAAGAGCTGCTGGAACTCTCAGCATGGTGCTTTTATACTTCCTTGGGTGTGTGTGGGGGGGCAAGTGAGAGGGACTCAAGGCGGACACTCCTTCCCCAGAGTCCGGCCCACCTGCTGCAGAGGAGCCCTGCTCGGTGGGAGACTGCTCTGAGCGAGGCGGCGCCGGTGGAGTTCATGCAACAGCAGAGGAGGACATGAAGTACTCTGAAATCAGAAGCGCTGAGGCTCCCCAGGTCTTCACATGTACACCCCATGAGTCGTTCCCACCACACCCCATGAGCAGGTCGCTGTCAGGTAGCTGCGCTGGAAAGAATGCCGCCCAGGTGCACACGGGTTTGTGAGGGAGCCGGGAGCCCAGGCTTGGCCCGTTTGCGGCCTTAACCTTGGTGCCCTAGGGCAATCCCACAAGTCCCGTGCTGAGTCTGCCACGGGAGGTTTTCGGGTCACGCACACCCCTGGAATGAGCCAACAGCCCTGCACACGAGGACATAAGATCCCCATTATGCAAAGGAGGTGCCGAGTTGTTTCAGGTCTTGCCATGGTCAATGAGTAAATAAGTAGCAGAGCCAGGACTGAACCCTTCTTTGGGTTCCTAGGAGCTGTACAGATAACAAATGTTCATCTGTTATCGCCTGAAAAATTACTCAATTTCACTATTAACTGCAGAACACATAAGCACTTAGCATCCCGGTTAGCTGGTTCCTCTCTCTCCAGGTCTGGGCGGGAAGTAGAGGTGGAATTAAACTCTGGGGTGGGGCCATGCTTCCCTCTTTGAGGAGCCTGTGTAATTACTCACTGGACAGATCTGCATTTAGTGTCTGCTGCGCAGGAACTGCTCTAGGAGGCATGACTAATTCAGTGGCCAAGCAAACAGAGACACTGCCTCCAGAAGCTCGCATTTGAGGGCATTAGTTACCTGCTTAGCGACCGTCGAGGCACAGGGAGGTGCCTGGCAGTTCTCCCTGAGTCCCAGACTCATTCTCAGCAGGCTGACCTAGCTCCACGCCCCCATCCTTCCACCAGTCACTGGCCCAGAGAATGCAGTGCTCTAATTGGCTAGGCAGGCTGGGGGTGTGGTTAGCGCCTTCTGAACCACTCTTGGGGGATGGGACTTCCCAAGACAACTGCAAGCAGAACCAGTGGGGTCATCTGTGGTCACTGCCACGCTGTGCGTCGCTGCTGTCCTGGGGTGGGCAGAGGAGAGGAGGGATTAGGCCAGCTGTGCTGAGGAAGGCTCCCACGCTGCTGTGGTGCCCACAGCTCTGTTCGAACTCTCAGGATGGAACACATCCGGTAAGGGCAGACAGAGCCGGACCGGCTAGGGAGCTCTGTTTACCCTGGGTAATTTATTAACTGATAATAACAGATTTCATTTAATATTCTTCCATTATCTGGACAAATGATCCTAACCATCTCATTAGGGAGTTTATGATTATCCTGGTTGTTTGAACGAGGAAGTAGCCAGAGGGAGAAAGCAAATCCCACTGCCTCTGCCGCCTCCATTCGCATGTGGTTATTCTGTTAGATTTTTTGTATGTATATTCTTTATTTTTTTTGTACCGGGGATTGAACTCAGGACCTTGTGCTTGCGAGGCAGGAGCGGCGCCACTGAGCTAAATCCCTGGCCTATGTATGTATATTCTTTATTGCCATACAACATCTCTGTCAGGCAAGGGACAGATGTAAAGTGCGCAGTTACCAGGTGGGATACGTGCATACCCCCACATGCTCAGTGTCCGGTGTACACATTGCCCTCACTCTTCCCCTGCCCTGTCACCCTGACTTCTCTTGCTATTGCTTAGTTCTGCCTATTGTTAAACTTCCTGTATGTGG